GAAGAGACTTAAGGAGGTGCTCTATAGTGAAAGTAGTAATCGGCTCTACGAGCAGCAGTAAATAATATCTGGTAATACTAGGAGCTAGATGACCAAAGTTAGATATTGTAGAGACTCAATGTCTACACTTAATGGCCTAAAAGTAATATGTATAAAATAGAAAGATTTTCACATCAAAGAAAATGAAGAATGCTTACCGGAGATCAGAAGCGGCCCCTTTTAAGATAAGTATAATTATCCCCAACTGGGTAAATCCACTTAGATTAATGTTATATATACTTAATCTGTTAGATGTTAGCTTAAACTTAATTTGTTTTTAGGTTGAACAAATCCGAATAAAGTTCGAAAGTTACAGAAACCTCATGGCCCAAATTTCAACCAAGAACAAAAAGAAAAAGGAAGTGAGCGAGAAAGACACATTTCCTGACATAGGAGTTTATTGGTGATGCCAAAATATTTGACCATAGTAGGCCTTTTAGCCAGGTACAGGCATACCTAGTTGTAAAATGTCTCTAGAATAAAAGAAGAAGAGCAGAGTTCAAAGGTCACTAAAGTAGTTCAAAATAAATGTAAACACTGAACTAGGTTATTTTAAACAATAAACAGTTAAAATACAAATGTATCCTTTTTGATTTTTCCTGAAGTAAGTAAATAACTATTAAGTAATTAAATAATAACTAATTAATTATGTTTAACATAACTATTCAATGGTAATTGTATTAATTTATAATTCATCGATTTAAACCTGTAACAATATGTGTATGTTGTGTTGCATACAAGTAGCACCAAGTGTAATAAATGTTATGATTTTGTGGAGCGTGCGCTATACGCCTCCTGGTCAGTTCTCTTTATCATGATGGCCGATTAAGTTGTATCGTACGAAGTTGTATTGTGTTAATAAAAGTAACTCTTAGGGTATTTGTGTGTTGTTATTCACCCCTAAGACATTACATTAAATTTATCATAAATACGCTTAAATTGTCTTTATACCAAGTGTTCCAATATATTTTGAACCTTTCTAAAACCATGTTACTTTTGAACCAGTTGAAACAACGGAATGCGATATTCACCAGTCTTTTGATTTTTATTAGTTTTTTCTTTGTACCTAATAAAAATTGAAAGAAGACTGGTGAAAACCGCATTTCGTTATTTCAACTGGTTCAAAAGTTACATGGTTTTAGAAAGTTTCAAAATATAATTGAAACACTTGGTATAAAGCCAAAGCATAATTATAATAAGTTTGATATAAGTTTAAATTTAACACTGCCAAGTGCGCTTTTGAAAATTTTCAAATAATTTATTGATGTTCTCAGGTAATATTTAAATTGAAACTTTGGAGTCGGCGCCTATGCTGGTAACATGTAAACGACAGTATTTATTTTATGTGTGTGTAATTGGATTTTATGACTGCTGATATAATCCATTAGCCTATTATATATTTGTGTTTTATTGATTACAAGATATGAATGAGAGAATCATATGAAGTTTTTTACAACTGGTTTTCCTAATAATATTAATATATTTTTATCTTCTGTTTTAATCTTGTTTTAATATATTTTTATTTTAAAAAAATTTTTTTTTTGTTTTTTTTACTTTTATTAGGAAAGAAGGATACCTTACGCTTAGAGGTCAATCAAAGCGATTTAAAACAAAGGAGAACCTCGTGTAGGAGGAACACTAATGGGAACGAAACGGTTGTTCTGTTCTACAATTTCAAATTAATATTAAATATGTGAATCACATATATTTAAATCTTGAGATTGTAATAATTATTATAAATTAAATTGTCTTATCTTTATATTTTTACAATCAGTATAATCACCACGGCAAATAATAATAGCCGTTCCTTTCCCCGCACAAGCTCAGCTTTTGGGGTTAAAATTCACTCGTAAGGGGGTGAATTAGGGAGAGTATTATTATTATTTATTTGCTGAATGAGAGTTTTCATTTTATTTAATATTAAGTAACATTTCATAATGAACTTTCTTCGCCTCATTCATATAAATGACTATCGAATGACTTAACTTTATATTTATGTGTGATGGATATTTAAGTCTGTATTTATTTTAAAAACTAATAAAATCATCACCTAGTACAGTAGGTATTTTCGGTAAATCGAAATAATTGGGGCAAGTGAGGGAATTTATGGCGTGATGAGGGGAGTGAGGAAATTTGTAGGGAAAATTAGGAATGGTGGGGGAAGTTGGAAAAACTAGAAGAAAATAAGGGCAAAAATAAGAGAAGTATGGGAAGTGGGTGAAATGGGAGGAGGAAGTGAGAAAAATGTGGGGAAGAAGTGGAAGAAATGTGAGGAAGAAGTGGGATAAATGGGGGAGGAAGTGGAGATAATGATAGGGAAAAATTGTAAGGGCAATTAAGAGAAGCTTAATTTAATTATTTTTCTGGTAAATTGTGTATAATACCTAGTAATTAATAAGGGTGTATGGAGATTAATGTTCATTTAGTTTAATTCAAGTAGTGGATAGACAATTTATTTGATGTTCAAAATTTTAAACATTGTGACAATTTATTGGTAATAAATTAGAAACCTTTGTATTTGCAATTTGTTTATTTATTAAAATTTAAAAAAAGTTTAATATTTTACAGGACTACAACTGACAATAGTAACGACTAAGTAAACTAAATTAAATATTAAATAAATAAAATTTATAAAGTATTGAATATTTAGTATTATATTTCTTAAAGCGACACTACTGGGAAAGAGAATCTACTCTAAAGAATAGCCTAGCCGAGGTAAGTTAAGTTTGGTGTGTATTTCAAATTGTGAAGTTATAAAGTGTTTTGAATAATAGAATCAATCAAAATATACATGAATGAAAGTTATAAAACTTAGCGATTTGATAAAAACCCGAATTGATATACTTTTTAAAAATGCAGAAATCAGGTACTAAAAAACTTGCTAGGTATACTTAACTTAAATCAAAAAGTGAATTAATATATTTTATTTTAGTCATTTTTCTTCCTTCTTGAAAGTGAACCTTAGTCTCATGGAACCAAACCATGACAGATTAAAAAAAAATTACCAGTCATTCCAGAATATGAACAGCCTCTAAAAACTTTTTAAACATTAACTATATGTTTTATATTAAATTCAATTTATTACTTTTAAGGACTTCTTTTATTTAATTTTATATTTGAAGAACACTGGGGAAAACGTAGTAAGTCACATTTTCCAATTATGGAGAAAAATCAATTTTAAAATTTACAAGTTTTTATTAAATCATGCTAAAATACAAATATTTTTGATACTAAAAAGTAGTTTAATGTTTGCTTATAATACCATAAAATAAAGTCATTCGACATCTTAACTTTTTTTAAAATAAAATTTTTAAATGTATTAAATAAAAGGGCAAATCGATCTAAGTCAAAACTGCGATTGTAGTAATTTTTTTATTTTTAGGTAGGTACATTATAAATGGGCAAAATTAATTTTTAAGAAACTATAGAAATTGAATTGATGTAAGAATATGCAACATATTAGTAAACTAAGATCCTTCTATAGGTACATGTCGTGGACTTGTATAATTTTCCTGTAAACTACCTATTTTTAAACGCGAAATTGATGGAATTAGATTGGTTTTAGAATGTTGTATTTTGGTACGATAAAAATACATACATTAAACTTTTATGTCTTTATCTAATTTGTAGTAATTTTAGACCTAGTTCATTTTTCCATTGTGCTCTTCATTTGATAATTTAAAGTTTTCTTTTGCATAAGTAGTCACTAAAAATTCTTTTACAAACCATGCCTAATTTGAAATTCCTACAGTACCTACATACTTAAAAACAATATGAATTAGGAAAAAAATGACTCAAAATTAATCCCACATAAATAAGCTGTAATGATTAAAAGACAACCGGTTTCGGCATTATGCCACTATACAAAAAACAATGCTAGAAAATACAACTCGCAAACTAAAAAGTTAAGTACATACCTAAAAGGTTAATAAGCTCCGTTAAAGATCCTAGTATTTTAAAAATTTTCAAATTCTTGCGAATCAAATCGAAGTGATCTGGGACAAAGCTCCAATTCCCACTATATCGAAAAATGCATTATACAATTAATTCGAAATATCCTGGGTAAGTATCAAATCTTTATTAGATATCCTAAAACGAAATGACAATTATAAGTTAAAAGTTGAGAAATATAAAGACGATTCAAAGAAATTATTCGATATTGCTGAATGTAAATGTGCTTTTTTGATACATGTGGCTGTTAAAAAACGTAAAATACCCAATATAGAGCAAGAATTAACTCACGACCGACAAACTGTGAGAAAATTTGTTATTGGAAAAATAGGCGTTACTGAAACAAATTAAAATCCAAAAAGAAAGAAAAAAGATCTAAATGTATTCAAATCAGCCTCTTTTTAAGTTTGAAGTACCTAGACAATGGCAACATTGAAAACTTTGAGCAAGACAGTATTTCTTATTCATCTGAGTCTGAGATGTTAGTAGAGCTTGAGAATTTGACAGAAAACAAGATAGCTAAGTCGGAGCTTCCATCAACATCAGGTCGCAGTACAAACCAGCAAATGAGATAGCCTATTCCCAATCTAGCTCGTATTTCTGACTAATTTGACATTTCGAAACGTTCTGCAACAGCGCTTGCATCTGCTGTATTAAGGTAAGGTGGGGTAAGAGCGTTTCTGGGGTAAGAGCGACTATGGCTAATAAATAACACGAAAAATATATAATATTACGTGCGACCCGTTCCACTAGTAGTACTATAAATAATAAAATGTCCCATCTCTATTAATTTGCTCTACACCTCCGCGCGCTTCAAGGTTACCAAACGGTTGTTATTCAGTTTGATGTTGGCTTTCGGAGCGAGTATAACGAAGATTCTTGTGCACTGCCTAGAAATTAGAAAAATACAGGTGAGAATATTTGCTTCTTTGTCACTAACTATAATTATTATAACTTGTGAACACTGTAGGGATTAAAAATTGTTAGTAGTAAGTTTATAGTTTGTAAAGATGAGGAGCGCACTTGCCCCTGAATTTTTTGGAACTGAGGCAAGTTCGTTCATTGGTCACGGGGCAAGTGCGTTCTTAGAGCGCACTTACCCCACACATTATAAAAACCATTTATAATTTTAGGAAGATGCGCAACTATAAACGAAAAAGTGATAGAGCTACTAAATATACAGCAGAAGTTCTACAACGTGTAGTGGAAGATGTAAGCAAAGGAGTGATTACAATAAGAGGAGCATCAAAAACCTATAACATACCAACGACAACAATTCGCGATCATGTAAAAAAAAAACGTGGTCTTAAAAGCTGTAACATGGGTAGGTCACCTGCAATACCTGTTGACTTGGAAGTAAAATTGGCAGATGGAATAAAATCCCTAGAGAAATGGGGGTTTGGGTTATCTAGGTATGAGATAATGGAAATTGTCAGAATTTTTGTGGAAGAGAATAATTTAAAAACACCATTTAAAAACAACAAGCCGGGCGAAGACTGGTTTCTAGGATTTAAAAAACGACATGGGCTATCGATTAAAAAACCCCAAAGTGTTGAATATTCGCGAAAAAAGAATACAGATCCTTTTATTATATATGAATACTTTCAATTACTTAAGTCGACATTAGAAAATTTTGCTTTACTTGACAAACCAAACCAAGTTTGGAATTTAGATGAAACTGCCATGTCGTTAGATCCGTCCAAGACTAAAGTAGTAGGTGCACGTGGAAAACCATGTTCTCGAACAACGAGTGGCCCAGGAAGGGAAAGTACCACAGTACTTGCAGCAGCAAGTGTTTCAGGAAAAAAGGCACCACCGCTTATTATATTTAAAGCCAAAAATATCTGGAATGAGTGGCTTCCTAAAACGGAAATTTTTCCAGGAACGGTCTATGCAGCCTCCTCTAATGGTTGGATGGAGTCGGACATTCCGTAATTACTTCGAAAAAAGTTTTATTCCTACTCTTGGTGATAGTCGTCCAGTTTTAGTACTATTCGATGGCCATAGTACTCACGTTACTGCTAGTATTGTAGAACTTGCAGTTAGAGAACAGATTACGATCTTAAAGCTTCCCCCACATACAAGCCATTTACTACAACCACTTGACTTGGCAGTATTTAAGCCTTTAAAGGATATGTGGGATCGAAAATTGGTTGCGTGGCAACGTACAAATTCAGGGTATAAAATTCCGAAGGTGCAGTTTTCTACTCTGGTAGCAGAAACTTGGAGAGATTTAAAGACTGATGTAATCATTAGTGGATTTAAGAAAGGAGGAATTATACCCTTTAATGACCAAGTGATTCCTGAAGATAAATTCGAGCCCTCTGCGTTACTTCGTTGGAAACAGCATAAGGCAGCCATACAGCTGCAACCACTTACTACTGCTCAGAGAAATAGAGAAATTGAACAACCGTTAGTAATTGTAAATGAACCCACGTTTGATAATAGACAACTAGATTCAGAAGATAAAGAACAATTGGTTGACTCGAACGAACAGCCACCTACACCTGTTCCATCAACTTCGTCTTCTCTGCTAGTTTCCTTTGAAGATCTTCTTTTGCAAAAAATTAATCAAACAAAGCAACCCGCAGCTAAACCAAAAAGACGAATTGCTGGTGGTGCTGAAGTGATAACGTCGCTGGAAGCTATTGCCAGAATGGCAGAAGTGGAGAAGAACAAAGCTGCAGAACTGGAAAGGAAAAAAACTTTTATAAAGAAGGGAAAAGTTTCAAAAAAAAGTCAGAAAACTTCAAAAGGTAAAAGACATGTTAAAAAAATTTTAGAGTCACCGAGTAGTTCCTCTAATAATGAAGAAGAACCTTTATACATTGACACTGACGATGATTTTGATACAGACAGCGATTTTAATGAGGAGGTATCTAATGCAGAGAACCTGCATCCGTTGTTAAGTATAGAGGTAGACCGATGGATCGTTGTCCAATATAATACAAAGAAAACAACACGACATTATGTCGGACAGGTATTGCTTCATTTAAATAAATTATCAGTAAGTACGTTTTACTTATTTTTATCACTTTCAGGTTACCCATAAAATTGGTAACGACGAATGGACTGTAAAATTCACAAAACATAATAAAGGGAAATTTTATTGGCCAGAAACAGAAGATTTAGATAATGTGACCAATACGGATATTATAAAGGTTTTGCCTGATCCAAAATTAGATCGTCGAGGAGATGCTTGGATTTTCGATTTTGACTTTCATAAATTTAACATTAACCTTACTTAACAATACACAAATTAATTAAAAATTACTTTATGTTACTAACGTACTTTAAATCAGTTATTTTGAGAATAAATCACATATTTTTTCTTTTACTTCGAAAATTTTATTTAGTTCTTTCCTGTTATATAGTTTGTAACTTTTAAACCAATCAACTTATTTTAATTCTGCAAACGGGAGAAAATAGCTCAAACCTGCCTTTAGCACGATCTTACCCCAAAAACAATTTTAATGAATTACATTATATTTAAACAGATAGAAACGCACTTGCCCCAAAATTTTTAAAAAGTGCGCTATCTTGCAATTTTTTTAAAAAATATGGCTGTAGCGTATGAACCGTTATCCAGCGTATATCTACTTATAGATTTGTTTGGACATTCTACTAACAAACTGATGCCCAAAAGTTGAAAACCATATAGTAAATCATAAATCTTACACTTAGTAACAAATGTCAACTATTCAAAAATCGGTGCGCACTTGCCCCATCTTACCTTACAGGATTTGGAACTTATTTCGAAAGAAACATCGACTTCAGTTATTGACTGAAGTAAGGTCCGAAGAGCTCGTCAAAAACACCGTTTTGATTTAAAAAGCGAATTCCAAACATCCACTCCGGAGATTAGATCATTATACTTCAATGGAAGAAAGGATAAAGATAAAACGATGTGCCAGGAAGAAATTAGGAACAAATTTCATCGCAAAATAAAAATCGAAGAACGTTTAGGATTTGATGTGTGGCGTATTAATAGAAATTCAATTTCTGTTGATATGACATGCAGATTAAAAAATTTCGCCATACATTACCGTCTCGATGATGGTGGGTGAGGTTTTCCGGGTTTTCCTCACCTGTACGTCAAATGGCACCATCAATAATCTTTAAGTCGCCCCGGAGCGCCACGGCAAATAATAATAATAGCCGTCCCTTCCCCTACACAAGTCGTTCAGTCGACTTCAGGGGTTGAAATTCACTCGTAAGGTGGTGAATTAGGGAGAGTATTATTATTATTATTATATCATTGCTCGAAGAACCAGGTTCAAAATATATAGGTCACATTACACCAACAACAGGTACGGGAAACATATTGCCATATCTATAGTTAATTTTCTACATCAGTACAAATAAGCTTTTAGTAGTAGGCTGCGATGGTACAGCGGTTAATACAGGAAGGAAGAATGGAGTTTTGCGATATTTAGAAACAAAACTGAAACGTCCTCTGCAGTGGATGATATGGCAGCTACATATGAATGAACTGCCTCTTCGTCATATTTTTCAATATCTTGACGGAGAAACTTCAGGACCTCGTGTATACTCTGGAGCTATAGGAAAAATGTTGGCGTCTTGCGAAAAATTGTCCGTTGTAAATTCTGATCCTATTGTTAGCCCTTTACCCCAGAATAATCACGAGTACAGAAGCGAAAGCACGCGTCGTCTCCTTTGATGTAGCGGTAGCCAATTATTCATTGACAGTTGACGTTATTTCCTCTTAGGGTTACGATGGGAAACATGTTTCAAATTTGTACACTGAGAAAAAGATTAAAATAAAAATGCATGTGACAAAATGAATGTATAATGCGATGCAAAGTATAATAATAATAATAATAAAATATACAAGGTCGACAAGAATAGCAGTAATATTGCCTTTAGTCTACAGCACCACAAATCACTATTTATTTAAACACACTATTTAAGTATTTACATTCAAATCAAAGGAAAAGATTAGAAACAGATAATCAGTGGGTTGCAAGAACGTTCATTAAAATTTAGAAGCCTAATAAATTTTGACTGATGTTTAGACTAAATATTTTTACGTTCATGTCATTCAGTGTTCATCATTCTAATAAAGTTTTATGGGATCATTAGCTATTGATAGATTTAACAAGCATTCTTGCAATTGGGCGAATAACTATTAAAACAGATAATGGTTGGTCCAGATACGGACATTATTAAATAAAATTTAAATTAATAAAACTTGTCCTAAGTACCTATATAATATAAAATTTTATAAATTATTATATTTTGTTTTGTCAGTTGGATCTTGTTGCTTGAGCAGACTATATTTCTGAGGTCTTAACTTTGTAAATGTCTACATTTCCTACGTTATTTAACATATCAGCACACCCTTAACATGTTATTTATCGGTCAGATACCGAGTTTATATCACACTGCATTATAATACCATCTTCCTACATAAATGTAGACTTTCATCCTGTATGTATTTTGTTGATACACAGAATTTGGCGCATTTAAACTGGTTTGTATCAGTCAACAACACAGATATCGTGTATTATGTACCGGTATGGCCCTCTGAAAACAATTTGTAATCGTTTGCATATACAGTAGAACTCCAATTATCCGAACTCCGACTATCCGAATCGCCGATTATCCGAATCACAAATGCGCGTCAAGTCTTGACGGAGATGTTTAAAAAACAATGATTTTTATTTCTAAACTTGTACATAAGTACATTTTATTTATATTTAAAACATGTGAAAATTTCATGTTTCTTTCATTTAATTCAATAAAAAAATAGTGCAATATCAAAACGTAGCTTTTATTCTCTCCAATGGCAATTTTTTTAAAAAAAATCCGATTATCCGAATGGGTCCCGGTCCCCATTAATTCGGATAATTGGAGTTCTACTGTATTAAACAACTTGGGTCCAGGTTACTACCCTGCGAGACACCTGTTGCGGAGACATTGATTAGAAAAGCAGCTAACATTCTTTTGATTCTATTGCTCGAACACAAAATATCCTAGGAAGAGTAGTTTTTATATTTTGGAATGCATTATTGCAAATACTTTTTCTACGCTGAATCGTAAATTGGTTAAAAGCT